CCCCTGTACTATATAGGGGAAAGAAAGATGGGTCTCTTCGTCTGCGTGCATTATAGGGGTCTGAATACAGTATTCTTGGAAAATGTGAACCCCCTCCCTCTAATGAGAGATGTGCTAGTGCACCTGTCAAAAGGAAAAATGTTCTCTAAACTAGACTTGTGGGGAGCTTATCCACGAATAAGAATGAAGAAGGAGAATGAATGGAAACCCGCTTTTAATTGTCCCCTGGGCTGTTTTCAATTTAAGGTGCTTCCTTTTGGATTATAAGGGGCTCTGGCTTTTTTTATGCAATTGATCAACGTGGTTCTGTATGAGCATCTGTACAAAGGGGTTTTGGTTTATCTTGATGATATTTTGATTTACACTGAAACCAAGGCGGAGCATATCAAACTGGTCAGAGCAGTTCTAAATAAACTACGCTCTGCTAAGCTGTATGCTAAATTATCAAAATGCGAATTCCACAAAGATTGCATTGATTACTTGGGCTATCCCATCTCTAACGAGGGGGTGGAGATAGACCCAGAGAAAGTGTGAGCTATCCTGGAATGGGCTCCTCCTCGTACCAGAAAACAACTCCAGAGGTTCTTAGACTTTGCGAATTTTTACCAGCAGATTATCCCCTCCTTTGCACAAATTGCACTCCCCATCACTAATCTGTTAAAAATCAGAGGTGGGGATAAACCAAAACCCAGCCAGCGATTGAAATGGACGGGGGAATGTCAAGCCGCTTTTGAGAAACTTAAGAGACTTTTCTCTGCGGAGCCAATATTGAAGCACCTGGACCTGGAGGAGGCTTTTGTTATTCAGGCCGATGCTAGTGATGTGGCAGTAGGCTCAGTCCTCCTCCAAAGAAATAAGTAGGGCCAATTACAACCTGTGTCTACACCTTCAAAAAGTTATCTGAAACTGAACAGAGGTGGGCGGCCTGGGAGAAGAAAGTCTATGCTCTTCTAACCTGGAGACATTTCCTAGAGGGGAATAAAATACCATTTCAAGTGTGCACTGATCATAAGAATCTTGAAGCTATGAAAACCCCTAGGAAACTGTCCCCTAAGCAAGCGAGGTGGTCTCAGCATTTCACCAATTCAACTTTACAATCCATTACCTCCCTGGGGGGAAGAATTTTCTGGCAGATGCCCTGTCCAAAATGCCACAATATAACTGTGAAATTTGAAGTAGTTAAACAATTTCTAACTCCTAAACAATTAGCAGCACCTGTCAAAAACCAGGGCTACAGTGCCAATAGAGACAAAACAGCAGCCCAAGAGTTCAAGGGTTCAAGAAAGCATTGAAAACCGATGAGTGGTTTCAAACCTGTAAGAACTTGTGTTTAATAAAAGACAACCTGGCTTGTGCTGGAGAGAAAATTTATGTTCCAGCAGCTTGAAGACTGAGAATGATGCAAGCAGGACACAATTCGAAAACTGCTGGGCACTTTGGGTTTGTCAAAACCCTGCACCTCCTCAAGAGACAATTCTGGTGGCCCTTTTTGAAAAAGGACATAGAAAGCTATGTGGCTGGCTGCCCCACATGCGCCATGGCTAAGCAGGAGTAGAGAAAATCTCCTGGGTTACTCCAGCTGGTAGCGAGCCGTTCAGCACCCCGGAGAGAGATAATGTAAGGGCCCGCTTCAAAACCTCATCCCAGGAAAGCAGGACTCTTGGAATATTTCCGTTCCAAAAGGAACCTTTATTAGGAGAAGTTCACAGCAGGCATAGAAGGCAGGATCTGAGGATTTCCCGCTCAAATCAATAGGTTAAAGGAGCAAAAAAACCAAAGCCCACCCCAACAGTTAATCCGGTCAGTTCAAACGGGCCTATCCCCAGGTGTTGTCCATTGTGGGAACGAGGCTGATAAGACTCCATTCCCAAGGCTGTGAAAAACGTTGGGTCTTCGCACCTTCCTTTCCACAGCGAGAGTTAAGCCAGATGGCTGGAGGCACATTCCTTTCTCACCCCAGGTTGACATCAAGGGGAGAATAGTTCAAAGAGCAAGCAGATAGAGGAAGCAGAGAGGTTACATTGTAGCATTAAAGCGAAAGGCCAATATACATACAATCCCCAAAAGCCTCTCCTCTCCCCTCAGGAGTTTGGCAGAACCCAGAGAGAGGAAAAGAAAAGGAAAGGAATAGGAAAAGCACCCCCCCACACACACACACACCAAAGAAATGGGTTCTGACAGATCTCTATGGATTTTATTGTGGAGCTTCCTGAAAGTGCTGGAAATACATTTATTTGTGTGGTTACGGATCTGTTCTCTAGACAGGCCCATTTCATCCCATGCCCGAAGATCCCAACAGCCAAAACTGGCTAAACTCTTTGTGCAACACATCTATCATTTTCATGGAGCCCCACAGCAAATAATCTCAGACAGTGGGGTCCAGTTCACCTCCAAGTTCTGGAAAACTTTTCTGGACCTTTTGGATTCTAGTCAGCAGTTGTCATCTAGTCATCATCCTCAAATGGGGGGACAGAGAGACTGAACTCAGTTCTAGAACAGTACATCAGATGCTTTATCAACTATCAACAAGATAATTGGACTGATTTATTACCTTTTGCTGGGGTTGCTTATAATAATGCTGTGCATTCAAGTACTGGTTTCACCCCTTTCCAGGTCGCAAATGGTCAGACATTTGTCCCCATGCCTGAATTACCCATTAAAAAACATGACATTCCCACTTTACAAGAATGGATTAAACAGCTGCAAAATACTTGGCCGGTAGTGCAAAAGGCCTTAGATGAGGCTAGAGAAGCCTATAAGACCCAGGCTGACAAAAGGAGGGTGGAGCAAAAACCTTTTAAGGTTGGAGACATAGTGTATCTCTTTATCAAATACTAGCAATCTCTACAACCTTCCAAAAAATTGGGTCCCAAGTTTGTTAGGCCCTTTCCTATTAAACACATCATCAACCCAGTGACTGTCAAATTAGAGCACCCTAAGAATCTTGGACAAATCCACCATTTTCCATTGTAGCTTACTGAAACCTGAGATCACTTCTAAGCTTAGACCACCAGCATCTCCGGTGCCTACACCCATATTGGTAGAGGGGGAATAACATTTTGAAGTGCGAGACATTTTGGATTCACACAAACATCATGATTCCAAACAATATTTGGTGGCTTGGAAGGATCTTTCATCCTCTCAAAATGAATGGGTATATAAAAAAGCCACATTAGAACGCCTAGGTTATTTAAACATTTTCACTCTAAATATCCTGACAAACCTGATTAATGTGATTGTTTTGTTTATTTTCTCCCCCTCTCCCACTTTTGTGTTCTGTAGGTGGACCTGTTGTTTTTCTAGGGGGGCTGTATGTTATGTCCCCAAAGAAATACTTGCTTCTATAACCATTATTTGGGTCCTGCCATTCTGTTGGGAGAGGGGATACTTTGGGGATACTTTGCACTGTCTTGCCACTATGCCCTCCCCCCAGGAGAAAGAATGCATCTCCCTTATCTGGGAGACAGTTGGCGCTTGGAGCCAGAAGGAAACGAAAGCAAGAGAGACCTTGAGGAGTATGCCAATGGAGCCAGTTACCAAAACACTATGCCACCTGTGGATTGGCTGGAATTCAAACTGACCCTGGAGGGGGGAGGAGTAATAATATTGCTTTTAATATACTGCTTGCATGGGTTTTTCTCCAGATCTCGCCTTGTTTTCCCTGCTATCACTAGCCCCTAATAAAAGTTCCTTTTGAGACAAAGACTGTTTAAAGAATTCTGCTTTCTTGGTTGAGGTAGGTCCTTATACTTACAAACATAAGAAATATGTATGTACAATTACAATAAAATAAAATACAATGTAAAAGAGGCCGTGCCTCAGACAGGCCCTGTGCACAATCTGGGGTCCGCACGGCTCCTACTTGAAGAGCTGATGGCAATCATGGCTAGGAAGGCCTTCACACATATTGTGCACCAGTTGTAGTCATTCCTAGATTGGAAGGATTTGCTCACTGCAACTGAGGCCTTAGTCACCTCCTGTTTGGATTTCTGTATTGCACTTTACATGGCACTGACTTTGAATTGCAAGATGGATGACAAATAAATTTGATAATGATAGTAATGAGTATCCAGAAGCTTCAGCTCTATTTAAATTAATTAAAAATGTCCCTTTTTGAAATAGAATGCAGGTAGCCTTTGCTTAATGACCAGTCAGCGACCATTCAAAGTTATGACAGACTCTCCCCCAAAAGGTACTTATAATCATTTCTGGAATTCCAACAACAACACCCCCTATAGTTAATGGGTTGCATTTCAGGTATTTGGCAACTTGCTCACTTTTAAATCTGGTTGCAGCATTCCACAATGATATGATACAATTTAAGACATTTTTTCTGGAAACTGGCCAAAAAATACCCATAGGAATGGATTGACTCGCTTAACAACCATGGTGTTCACTTAATGACTGCTGAAAAGAAGTCATAAAATCAAGTCAATCATATGGATGCCTCAGCTTATAACTGTTATGACTTACAATGAAAAATCCAGGGTCTATTATGGTCAAGTCAAGAACTACCTGTAATAAAATCATAAAACTTGAATGATCTATTTAAACAATTAAGTCCAATCATCTATTCAGCATTCACTTGAATACATTTCTTTAACACATATAAAACCAACCAAATAAAATGGAATGTTATTGCAGGAAAATACAAAGTATAGCTTAATAAAGTCTTAGTTATATTTTTAGTGTTGTGTAAGTATCAGCACTCAAGAAAGTGGCAACATTAAGGAAACAGAAACTACAGATTTCAATAAATTATTTTCAACACTAATCTGAGGTAAATGTAGTATTTGGAAGCTGTATTAAAAATTTCCCAACCTTACTGATAGTTAATTAAGGTGGGGACTCTGAATGCTTTTTCCCAGAATTTTCCCCATCTATATTGAGCTGTTATTTAAGAGAGAATCTGCCCACTGTTGATTCTCCATTTGCCAGCCAATCTCCCATATAATAAAATAATATTTTGCTCACTTGTTGATGTATATGCGACACTACATATTTCCTACTTGAATTCTTACAGGGTGATTTCACTTGGAACAGTATGTCAGGGCGCAGCGTTCGTTTGAAATCTGTTTCTATTCAGAGCCTTTCAGAACTGGAGCGTGCCCGACTACAGGAAGTGGCCTTCTATCAGTTGCAGCAGGACTGTGATTTAGGATGCCAAATAACTATTCCTAAAGGTAAGAATACTACTATATGCTTAGATGCTAACAATGAAATGGGAAGTATTGAAGAGTAAATCATAAGCCAATATTTTGTTTTACTTTTTTGTTTTTTAATTGAAAGATAGAAGTTTGCTTTAAACATCTATAATTAAACATTTAATAGAGTTATACCAGCTGCCATCATACCTCTCATTCTGATGATTGTGTTGTCATTATGTATATAATTAAAATTATATCCTTTATCACTATATGAGTATATCATTTGAGTAGTAACATAATTATGCAGATTGCATCATTTGTAGAATAATGTCTTGACATCTTTACACAAATAATATAAATTGTGATAGATATCGAAATCTTAAAGTCATTGTCAGAATCCAATTATATTTCATCTCTAGTTATCAATTATAAAAAACCCCATTTCTTCCTTCTATGGATTCTGTCATACGATGAAGGGAAGGGGGTGAACAAAGGGGCTTTATGGCCCTCACTTCCCTCGGTACACTTCAAAGGAAATGGATGTGTGTATCGCCAAAAGAACTAACCATAAGAATGGGGCTATTACCTTTCATGTAGTTTTCTTTGAAGTCTCCATCCAGCCGGCAGTAAGGAAAAGGGGGTGGGAGTGTAATGCCTAAGACTATCGCTGGAAGAGGGGGGTGATTGGGTGGGGCTACTTGGAAACCCCTTAAAACCTTGAATAGGAGAGCTTGGACCCCAAGTCCTGTCTAAAACGCCTGCAACCATTTTCTCTTAATAAAAGATGCCTGTTGGAAGAATTATTCCAAGAGTTCTGTCTTCTTAAGATGCAAAGTGGGGTGGGTCCTTACAGTCATATTCATACATGTTCAACAGACTGACCTTATTATTTAACATGCAACAGATTTGTTTATTATATTAGGAGCAAGCTTGGACAGATTTTGTTGTTTTTACATTCAAAGTTATAACGCAGATAACAATTTATGGCAGTGTTGAATCTATTTCCAGAATTTGTCGTTCTTACACTCCAACTTTTTCTGGCAAGCAGTAGGAGATCCTGAAGCTCCACAAATAGGACTTTACTAGCTTGCAATTGATTTTGTTAGCCAATTGATTAATTTTGATTCGCTGATCAATAACTGAGCTCAGTTATATAAAAAATAATTGTTTCAGAAAGCTGTACCCAAAGCGAGCAGAACTATTTATCAATCACAACCTTTATTATGCCATATTTGGTTTCAGCCCAGTATGTTTCTGTTCTGCTATGAATAAAAACGTGCCTTTTGAGTTTGTTTTGGCATAAAGTGGATTATTGAAGTTTTATTTCTTTACTCTTCATTTTATTTAATTTTCTGTTGATACAAAACTTTAGAGTACCATTAAAATAGATGGATTTTGAATCTATTTTTTCTAATTATTTTTTTCTCTTTTTTATTTAATATATAAAATATAAAATACAAAGAAAAAATAGAAATAGGGGATGAAGGTAGGGAAAAGGAAAGGGGAAGAGAAAGTGTGAAGTACAAGGGAAAAGAAAAAAAGGTGTTGACTACAAGAAATCCAATGGCTCCCTAGGACACACCATCTACCAGGAGAAAACACACACAAACCGCTATCTGCACGCTCTCTCACACCACCACCCAGCACAGATCAACTCTGTAGCCAAGACACTCATCTCCAGAACAAAACGTTTAGCTGACGAACAACACCTAAAACCCGAACTACACACTCTCACCAATGTACTAACATCCAATGGATTCCATAGAAATAAGGTTACAAACCTAATCCAAAAAGAAACCCCCACTAAAATCCAAGACAAAGAACAAGAAAACGGCAAAGCCCTCCTCCCATACATAAAAGGCACCACAGACAGAATCAGTAAGATCCTCCATAAACACAACATCAAAACAGCATTCTGCACAAACAGAAAAATATCCACCATCCTTAGAAACCCCAAAGATAAAATTGAATTAGAAAATCAAGGAGTATACGAAATCCCATGCATCACTTGTCCCACCACATACATCGGACAAACCAACAGAAGAATAAGTGCACGCATTGAAGAACATAAGAACTCAGTCAAAAAAGAGGAACCAACATCTTCCCTGGTCCAACACCTTAAAGCCACAGGACATGAAATTGACTTTAAAAATACCAGAACCATTGCCAAAAGTGAACATTTTAATAACAGAATAATCAGAGAAGCCATCGAGATAGAAAAACGCCCACACAGCATGAACAAGCGAGATGATACCTCCCGCCTACCAGCCATTTGGAAACCCGCCCTTATTGACAAACGACTCCCTAACACAAAAATTATACCAGACCCACACTCACAAAAACCACACAGGAGGTCACCACCACACATCCACGCAAAAAACAAACCCAAAGCCACACCGATGACAAGGCACGACCACAAACCAGAAGCCAGACCACAGCTGCATCATTAGCCACTTTAAACCCCTCCAATCCATACATGAAGCAAACTGACACCCTCCATGAAGAGGAAGCATGACCACGAACGTGAAGCCAAAAAATAGCAAGGCAGCCCAAAATCTCAAACCCCTCTGCAACTCAGACTAACCTGGCACAACCAAACAGAACACTCCCCCAGCCAATCAGAGCACAGCCAAGCCCCTAACCATTCAGAACACACCTCCACCCAATCAGAACACAGCCAAGCTCCCACCCAATCAGTTCATACCCCCACTGGCAGTTAAAAGGAAGAAACAGCTAAGACCACACATTGCTGCTCAAAGCAGGAAGCTGAAAACACCAGCCTGAAGATGACGAATGGGACTTCGTCGAAACGTCGCCAAGACACTTCCAATTTTACGCGGGAGAAAACCCGAACAACCAAAGACCTACATATATATAATATATATATATATATATATATATATATATATATATATAGGTCAAATACCCGCAAAAACCTCAGAAAACACACACACACACACACACACACACACACACACACACATATATATATATATATATATATATATATATATATATATATATATATATAATTACATTTTCAAATTTTAAATTGAACCTTTCTTTCAATTACACATATTGAACAAAGAAAAGTTCATCCTGGTTCCAGTTGTCTCATTAAGTTTAAGTCACTCTTTCCTGCTTATCTTCATAAAATAAAATCTTTTTCTTATCTAGAAGTTTTATTCGGGAGTTTTTTTACATCATAGAATCCTCAGCCTTGTTAATGTCCTGAAAGAGAAAGTCCCAAATTATCTTTTTTCTCAGTGCTCTTCTTTCAGTTGTGTTGCGAGCTTTATATTTACACCATAATCCCAGCCTTGCTAATGTCCTTAAAGAGAAGGTCCCAAATTTGCCTTTTTTTCTCAGCACTCTTTTTTCATTTGTGTTGTGAGTTTTATATTAACACCATAACAGTAAAAGTTAGTAGGTTCCTCCAAAACTGTAATGCGCTGCTCTGCATTTTCTGCCTTTTCAACTATTTGTGAAATTGCCTTGGTAATATCATAGCATTCTCCACATGTTTGCATTTCAGTAATTTGAGAGGATTTTTTAATCATCCTTAGAGCACAGCTGGTCAACAAATTGGTGAATTTCGTTTAAAGATCTTTCAAGAATATCTCTAATACTCTGTCCGTCCATCTTGGCTTCCATTTTTAGTCAGGATCAGAAACTTTTTGTCACCCACAGCAGAGAAAACCAAGCCACAAGTTAGTACAATATTAAACTAAAAGCACAGCCTTCATTCTTTATGTCTCCATCAGCTTTTTTTTTTTCTTCACCACACTTCCTTATTTGGCTTGACTTAGCAGCCTTAACAGTTCCTTGTTATTTAAGACAAAGAGAAATCCCTAAAATGGCATGAGTCTTCAGAAAGAAACAGCAGACTGTAACTAAAAAGAGCATCTTTTTAACTTGGCTTGAAAAGAATAATAGTCTTTGAAGGTGATTAAGAAGGGAAAGGTACAACTTACTGTCCATTTGAAAGGTGGAGTTCAAACATCAGCTTCTTCAAACTCGAACAGATTACAGCCCCTCCCCCCAGCTTTTGGCATGCAGATTGCTTCGGACGGACTCCAGAAGCCATCTGCCGGCTTGCAGCTGTTTTGGAGGATTGCGAGGGAAAGTTGTTCAACCCACACTAACAGGGTGGGTCTTAAAAACTGAAGGAATACCAGTCCCTTCAGTTAAAAGGTTGAAGAGCTGAATCCCAGGAAGAAATCCTTCAGGCGTGCCACCAAGTTGGCTGTCTTCCCAGAAGTCGGATTTTGAATCTTTTTTTTGCAGTCTACTATTAATCTAATTTTGTATCTGAGATCTGGTAGGTCTATACTAGGCTATGTTGTCAAATTGACTGATGAGAAACCAACAGACATGTAAATGTGTTTTTATCAAGTGTACTATGTATTAAGTAACAATAAAATCTTTACTTGGCTTTCTCAGAACGACTAAGCAAACTTTTCATTTCTAAAAATATGAAATCCAGTTGCTGAAGTCAAATAAATTTCCCCAGTCTATTGTTATGTACAATTGTGGTTGGTGGAAAAAATAAGAAAAATAAACTATCTTTGAATATATTTTTATTAAGAATTTAATTAAAATAGTGAAAATTAACACAAACTAAGTTTAGAAAATAGAAAATAAGAATAAAAAGTACAGGAAAAAAGAAAAATAGAGTAAAGAATGTAATAAATATATAAAGAAGTGACTTCCAATAGGCATTGCAACAAGCATAAACAAATTTAATGACTCTTTTCCCCCTATAAGGTTACAAACAGATATCTCTTCATCCCATATTCCATGCCTTATCTATAGGCAAATTCATAAAACATTTTCAATCCTAGTATCAACAAAAAGTCCACAAAGGGTTACCAGAACTTTGCAAAAAAAGTCTTAATTTTTAATTCAGTCACATATTGTTGTAAGATATGAGTTCTCTTCAATTATTTTTTTACCCTATCCCATATATTTCTTTAAGACTTTAAGTCTTTAGTAGACCCAATAAGAATATTTTTTCTTGGTCATTCTCTTTGTTT